CTGCGTGCCGAGTGCCGGTTGCTCCCTAGGCAGCCCCAGCCCTGAAGGAAGCACCAAGAAAAGTAAGTGCGGGCTAGGGGTGAGACATGCCTTTTCGGGGGGACTTGGTGGTCTTACCTTCTCCAAGAGGCCTACCCGTTACTTGTTCTTCTCTCGTAAGTATCGCTGTAGAGTTGGAAGAAAGTGGGTCAAATCACCGTCATTTTCACAACTCAACTCTTGCTAGAAGTCCCAGAAGAAGCAAGCATGTCAACTCTTTTCCCTCATGTTTGCTAGGGTAACACATGAATGACCTTAAATTCCATAAAAATTTGATGGGTGTGTTATGGCCATTCGATTCAGGAAAAACTTGGGACGTTTTGTCATGTGCCGCTCTTTCAAACAAAGGATGTGCATTCCCAGAGCCTCTGGAAATACAGAAAGGTAGTGGCAGTATTAGCAACTTACGTATGCCAGCAGTTTGTGCTTACTTTTTTTTCTTGCTGCTGTGTTTAATTTTTATTTTTCCCAGCACAGACTGCTTTTTAAGTAGTATTTGAAAATAGGGAAAAAAGGATCCTTTTTTTTAATCCATGTATTTCTCTCAATGGCTTTCTGTTGCTTTGCAACCCAAACTGTGGATATTCCCTTCATATGTTGTTTTAGTAGAGATCAGGTGTTAGAACTTGTAGGTCTCCATTCATGAAAGTAAACTATTGTAAGGTCCTTTAGGTATAAAACAGCTGAAACAACGGTAACCATATACTGAATTATGGGTACTTATGATAAGTAACAAAATAACAAATGCACAGTTATTGGTCAGAAGTATTTTGTTGTGGACAGAATGCAGATACGGAAAATGGCCAAAGTTTTCGTGGACATGTTTTGTCCAGTAAAGAGTGACCACTAAATACAGGAATGCTGCTTAAAAACCACCAGGAAAAAAACACTTGCTGCATGACCCTAAGTTTTCATAACACAGCAGAGCAAGTTACCTTCCCACAGTTGAAAGAGGGAGTTTCTGCTCCCATCTCTTCCCCTTTCTCCATGTGGCCTGCTACGAATTCCCTTCTGTTAGCTCTGTTTTTCATCACTGTTGGGTCAACTGATTTAAGTCACTAAAATAGCAGAAAATTGATCACTAGAATGGCAGAAGAACTTTTCCAGTTTAGTGAGTTGAATCAGCTTGTGGAAAAGGTTGATGAGTGGCAGAGCCAGAAGAAAAGGTGGGGAACAGAACTGACCAGAGAGTAAGGAGAGAAGGAAGAGCAGAAGGAATAAGGAGTTTGAATTTGGAAAGCAGTGGGATGAGAATGCCCTTTCAGTGACAGTGGACAGTTAGGTCAGCTCAGCTGCAGGTCAAGTTGCAGTTCTAAGACAAAGGAAAAAAACCAAACAAAAAAAACCCCAACAGATTCTATAGTACATTTCATAACTGAAACAAATTCCAAGAGTCCCAACTTTAGCTACCTACTTCAATCAAAAGGGGTAACATTGGTTTTAACACAATTTGACAGATAGATTGCTATTTATCCGGGTGTGTGGTCCTGAGATTTTTGAGAAGCCTTACTAAAAAGTGGAAAATCTCTAAAATTCAAAGAATTTGCTTTTAACACCTCACTCACAAAAGCACTGAAAACGATGAGAGTTTTAAGCTAATTCACGTTGCTCATTATTTTAAATTATGTTTCATATCATATTGTTTGCATGTGAACTATATTAAATTGAGGTATGTAAATTATATTCCCTTAGGACTTTTTTGAAACCAGAATGTCTGAGAGCAAGTAATATTTAAATATGTGAAGGTAGTAGAAAATAAAAGGCTACATGGAAGAATGATAATAAGAGCGTATTGCTTTGTGCTGAGTAGGGCACATACCGATGTTGAGAAAAGACGGTGCGATTTTCCTGCTCTTCTGCTTTTATAGAGGCTAATGTTGTTAGCTGGGAAAAAAATCTGGTGATTGTAAATCTACCAAAGATTATTCACAGTGAAAGAAAGACCACCTCTTTTCTTTCTCCCCTCCCTCCTTCCCCAGACGTCCATTCACCCTGGAGTCTTTTTAAGGTGGCTTTCACTGTCTCATCCTCTTGTGATGGAGGATTTTGCTGTGTGCCTTTGAAAGAGATGTGCACAATCAAAATTCTCTGAGGATTCACGTACCAGATTGTCACACCTCACAGTTCTGATGATGGCTGTGTGGTATATTTGCTACCTTTACCAGAAGCAATCCCTCCCTCCTACTCTGCCTCCTCTCCATTTTATTTCTCTCTCAGGAGCTGCAGAGAAGGTGGTGAAAATGGAAATGCTTGGTCATCATACTCTCAGGTTAGGCTAAAAAAAAATCAAGATGGAAACAAAAATGTTGAGAGAATCAAGTCTTCATCAGCAGTGCAGTATGCTGATACAGTATCTTAATTAAAGTATTCATAGAGTTAGCTGTGCAGCATGATAGGAAGAGGAAATTTAGGAAAAGCCTGTAATGAAGATGTAGCAACCATAGAAAAGAGGAAAAAAAAAAATCAATAAGACATTATTTCCTTTCCTCCCCTGTAAAATAAGTTCATGTCTGGCAATATGGTCTTGTGCGTGTATGGGAACAAGCATTCCATGCAGCCTTTTCCAAAAGGTAACTGAACAGGAACTGACATTAATGATGCCTAGCAAACATAGAAGTCTCATTTTTTCCTACCTCACCCAATCTGTAGCTATTTATCCAGGCACATTAAATATTATGTCTTCCCCAACTATCAAATTTTAAGTTTTAGTTATAAATTTGAAGTATGTTTTCCTACTTAAAACTACCATTCTAATTTGATAGTATCTTACACCCAGTCACTGTTACTCTTGCAGAGGTAGATATGACTATACAAGACATACGAAGATAATGAAGAATCAGATCCATCAACTATGATGAGAAATAACATTGTTTCAGCTGTTGATTGTTAGCAACAGTTTTAACTTGAAACAGCATTGCCAATGGCTTAACTACGTGCATACATACAGGCAAACGATGACGACATCATCTCATTGGCAAAATAGCATCATTTCCGAATACAGGCACGCTCTGCATCCCTCTGTGAGCTGCCTTGGGGTGATGCCAAAGCGCAGACCCTGGGAGAGAGTCAGTTGTGTAGCTGTGAGCTAGCCATGCTGTGCTGGCCGAGGAGGGACCAACAGGGAAAGACCCTTCTGTGCACAGCTCGTTAGCGATCTCAGGAATGGAGTCTTGGTTTTTCTCATACTGTGTGTCTTTTCGGTTTCTGATGTGCTTTGATGATTCTGTACCCCTCTGCCTGTAACATAGGGCTCCTTGCTGGCTGTCTCTCTTCATGTACAAACTTTTGTCTGAGTTGGCGTTGTATGAAATCCAAAAAGTAATGGGCCAGCTTCTCTGTCTGCATGTATTGCCAGTGGCCAAATTCTATAAAATTGGTTGCGAATTTAGAAGGCATTTTTTTCATAAGCCTATGGAAATGAATTGTTGTAGTTCAATTACATTTAAAAGATCCATTTTGGGTTGTTAAAGAAATTTTGCCTTTAAGGCAAAGCGGGCAGAACGGGCTTCTTAGCAATGTTGACCTTGTTGTTGAAACCAAAATCATAAAGGTCACAGTGCTCAATATATAATAGTAATTCACTGTGCAGAAAGCATCTCTTTGAAATGGCAACAATGAAGAAGCAGAATACATAGAATTTCCAACAAGATGTTTTGTTGCCTTTAGCTGTAGTTTATTAAAAGTACAAAACTAAACCTTAAAAAGAGAAAGACAAGTGTGATTTGCCATTATTTGTTGATCTGAATTTGTCTGCAATTAATATTCAGAAAGCATTCATGAAGATGGTAATGATTTTTGAAAGTGCCTTTTTTGTAGTATTAACAGCTAGTCATCTGAAACTTAATCTTGAAAGTGAATTACTGATTATTTTCTTGTTTACAATGCTCAAGTTATTCCGTCAGGAAATGAAAAAATATTGTATGACTTAGTTGAATACTTGACAATAGCACACATTGCAAATGGATAACATCGACACAGAATTAATATTTCAATCTGTATGCTGAAATTTGTTAACATAACTGTATGGATAATACTTAGGAATAACAAACACATCTTGGGAGACTTAATGGAATGAATCCATAAGAAATATTAGACTATGACCAGTTTTGCGTATCAGTTTCCTGTTTTTCATTTGACCAGGTCTTGTTATTCATCCAATGTTTTTTGCTGGTTGGTAATAAAAG